GATTTGAAAGATGATAATAATATTTAATACCTAAGGAATGGAAAATCTAAGCTCCGAGAAAGAATATTCTTCTTCGTCTTCAGTTCAATAAAGACTTCCTCTAAATGAATGAGTACACCACCAATCGGTAAATAGATAAACCAAGCAACCATTCACACTTATATGAAAGAAATATTGAGTCACTTTGGATATTGATATGGCTCCCATCATTTGTATAGAAATATTTATGAAGTGTTGTCGATAATATCAGATGGAACTTTATTGAAAACTAAAATAGTAAAAAAAGAAACACGAGTGTTTTGGAAAATGCGAGCCTACATAATATTTAAACAGATTATGCAAGCCCACGTAATGGAGACCAATGCATACAGTTAATTTCACAGAGAGAGTTAAAAACATAAATGAAATAAAAGAGAAAAGATGCAACTTGAGGCGAAACGGTTGAGGATTTATTGTGAAAGTCGTTTGCAGGTGTAATTATACAAAGCAGGCAGAATTAGCGTGTTTATTAATTTTTATGCAACTGTCAATGTTGGCGTCATGCTAACATTCTAAAATTATTCTCAAACGCTCTTCGAAATCTATTGGAAAAGCAAAAGCTATCTAGCTGTGAACCTCTGGCTACTTCACTGCTTAAACAGTAAAATTACTCAATATTATTATTATTATTAGCCTGGCTCTACAATCCGTTGTCGAATCCTGGCCTCCTCCAACAGCCACCATCCAATTCCGAAATTTTTTGAAAATGTAAGAATTAAAGTCTGATACCTATTTGTTATAGATAGATAGATAGAAAATAACTTTATTCTGGGACCCTTGAGAATAACAAAATAGATCAAAATTAAAAGATTACATCAGACCTAAATAAAATCAATAGAAAAAAGAAATAATGTAAAGAAAACATAAAGTAAACATTCCATATACGAAACTGTATACAAAACAATTAACACTATGAACAGACACTTAAAGCTATTTGCACTAATAGACCAGTATACACTTTTAAGAAAACAATAAAGAATTAAAAAATAAAAATATATTAAATTCTTCATTAAAATAAGCCTATAAAGTGCCTGATTAATATATAAATACATTATCATTTCAATGTTGATTGATGTATAAATACATCATCATCATTTCTTAACGTAACAATAGGCAAGAATATAGTGGTGTATAAAAGATAATAAAGGAAGGAGATGGTCCGGAGTGGCGGTCATAAAATAAGCTAAATAGTGGTAAAACTATTTTATTAAAAGCCGACGTTTCTACCCGACTTTGCAGGTCTTCTTCAGGGCTAGAACGGACAAGATACAAAAAGATAGAGAATTGTGGCAGTTACATAATATTTAGACAAAATTTATAAACAAATGGTTATTGTTCCATTTTATTTACTTATTTATTTAATTTTTTGTTTTCTTTTCTTTCTCCACATTTCTTTATGTCTATTATTTCATATTATATCCCTTCTGCTTTTCTTTCAATCCCTTCGGTATATCTGTGTAGATATATTCACATTGCATTTATTATATATTAAAATACAACAATTGTTATCATCTATTTACTTCAGTTTAGGATCTTGTTACTTAGCTTGCTCTGTTCATATTTTAATGTACTTACTGTTTATAATTTCAATAAGCTTATTCACATTGTTTATAAATTTTGTCTAAATATTATGTAATTGCCACAATTCTCTATCTTTTTGTATCTTGTCCGTTCTAGCCCTGAAGAAGACCTGCAAAGTCGGGTCGAAACGTCGGCTTTTAATAAAATAGTTTTACCACATTTTAGCCTATTTATGACCGCCACGCGGGACCATCTCCTTCCTTTATAATGCAACGGTCAACTATTAAATATTCAATAAAAGATAATAGTTATAAACTACCAATAGATGCGTTCAGTGAGATCAAGAATAACAAAAACTTTACCCTATAAGAAAATTAATATCTCTAGCAAAGAATAGTATTGATATTTGACACATATACATAATGATTGTTATACATATGAACCAGAAGAAATATTTAACTTTTTCACGTTCGAAGAATAATAATTAATCATAAATATAAAAGTCCAATAAATTAGTTAAAGAAACATAACCAAAACAAATTGATGAATACGACACATTAGACCTTACTATTTGACATAAATTGATTGATTTCACCTTACGACCTGTTTCACTTTCGGCGTTAGTTCAAAGGTTAAGTCAAATGGACGCACCCATCAACTAGGAATCGAGGTTATTTAATTTATAATAAACTAAATTATTCTTTTTAGCCTACAAACATTCAAATAAATAATAGATTAAGTAAATTTCTTACAGTAGTAATTTTAACATTAAATTAAAAAAAAAGAAGAGATAAATTGTATATTTATTGCTTGTTGAGTGGTGATTTCATGTATTGTTTTTAACTCATTTAAATTTGTAAACTAACATCGGTTTGTAAACAATAGCAGTGATGTGTCTTTTAATTTTCTTCTGACGCACTACATTAGACAACACATTAGGATGAATCAATCTATAAAAATATAAAACTAATATTGCATGCGAACAGGAAAAGAAAAGATAATACACAAACTAAATTTAAACCGCTGTTTTAATAGGTTTACCTTAAATTTTTACAGTAATAATAATTTTTAAATACGTTTATTGTACAAAAATCTATTAAATTATATTCAATGAAATATTTTATTATATTTCATTCAAAAAAGTATCAATTAAATTATTAAATATATCAGAGTCTGTTAAAATTTCGATATCTAAACGAAATGCATTTTTAGAATCGCTAATAATAAATGGTGTGGAAAAGTTACGAATACGTTGATAGAAATTATAAAAACAGTAGTTTACTATTATTTATTTTGATTTAAAACGATAAAACTGCATAGATTTCTGGATAGCTGGACGAAAGACATTCCAGACTTTTTCAAATAATTTCAAATACAATATTGGAGCTTCTTTCAAGACTTTTTTTATTTTTATCCTTGAAAACACTCTGACAGATTTTGTTAATTTTATATAAATAATTGAAAATATGATCGTCAGGGATAATTTACTTGATAATTTGACTTTGAGAAGTTTAGAAATTATTTAGTTTTTAAATTCTATTTTTTTTTCATATTCCCAATAATACAATAACTATATTTGAATGATTTATGAAAGAATTAATGAAATAACTCCTTTTCTGTAATTTTGTAACATATTAACACCTAGCCGGAGTTGTAAAGTGTTTTATGTTTAGTTGTACATAATAATTATTAAAACTTAGCACAAAGAAGGAGTTTACACATTTTTATATTTATTTTGTTTTATAACTTTTCTATTACTAACTTATGTTCAAGGAGTTGAAGAAGATACTGAGCTGATTTGCCATCGAACTGGAGCCGGTGATGCAGTTGAACAGAGAGTCTACAGTCCGAGAAAATATTGTCCGATTTCACAATGCACAATCGCGAATCACATTTTTGTAATTCTTCGGATCCGATCGACATTAGGGTTTACTATTATGTTGTCAGGGGCTCTTTTTTATGAAAATATCGTCTGATTTCAGAATGCACCTACCCTATATATACCATACTATATGTATATATGAATCCGTATATTGATAAATCCTAAAAGTTACAAAGACGTGATGGGCAAGTTCACATTTTTAAATCTGACATGATTTTCATAAACAGAGTCCCCAACACCATAATAATGGACCCCAATATCGTTTAAATCCGAAAAGTTACAAAAAAATTATGCACGATTGCACGTTAAATCCGACAGTATTTTCATAAAAAGAGCCCCCACAATATAATAATGGACTCTAATATCGATAAAATCTGAAAGGTTACAAAAAAATGATTCGCAATTGCTCATTCTGATATACATTATTTTCATAAAATAAATCAACCTACAACATAATAATGGACCCTAATATCGATCGAATTCGAAAAGTTACAAAAACGTGCTGCGCATTCTTAAATCTGACATAATTTTCATAATAATAGACCCCAATATCGATCAAATCCGAAAAGTTACAAAAAAATTATGCAAGATTCCGCATTCTGATATCCAACTTTATTTTCATAAAATAAATCCCCCAAAACCATTATAATGGACCCCAATATCGATCAAATCCGAAAAGTTACAAAAAAATTATGCACGATTGCTCATTTCGAAATCCGTCAGTATTTTCATAAAAAGAGCCCTCAACAACATTGTAATGGATTGCAGTAATCAAGAATTGGTATTATATTAATATATGAGGTCCTCTCCTCTCTCTCCAGAACATAACTATGGATCCTTATTCAACATACTGAAAACTTAATTTTAAATAACTAAATACAATTTCATTACCATAAACAAGAATATATATTTGTATTTGTGGAATGATTAATCGTTGAATAATGGTTATTCAGTGAATTTACGTCTTGAATAAATTTTTATTCAGCCAATATTTTAACTGAATAAATTTTTATTCAGTGGTTATTGGTCATTGAACAACGAATAAAGTAAGATTATTCTGGTTATTTTAAAATCACTATCGAATAAATGCAATATTGCCTTTAGTGAATGAAATAAAAATAATTGTTTATTCATTATTATTTATTCGTTACTCGAATAAATTTTGCTCAACTGTGTTAAATAAGCGATATAGTGAGACGGTGGCTAAAGTATCTGTTCAATTTTAAGGATCTTTGGTAATCTACTTTTCTTGTCCTTTCTGAAGTGAAAATACGACACAAATACCTTATGCAGAGTATTCTAAATCATAGACCTCTGTCAAAAACATATATAAAACTCTATTATTTCCAATAAAGGTTCAATTTGTATTTATTTATAAACATCGTAAACGATTTATTATGATTCGAATTTCATCTTAATCTCTAATTTCTTATAATAAAAATATAAATAGCCATTAATTAATCTAGAGAGGAGACGTTTATATGAGTCATATCTGGATACAAACTGAACTGGAAAGCCGGGAATGCCAGAGCGGGTAGTGGGGGAAAAGATATCCTCCGCATCAGCTATATCAGCGTCCAGTCAGTGTTGCTTCAGCCGTTCTCTTGCTCGCACCATTCCGAGATTGAAGATAGTCGTCATCAAGATCCCCGCATTCTGTAAGTACCAAGCAATCAGTCCATCATCCCATTCCAGTGAGTGATCGATCTGTCCCGTTTCGGTGTCGATGACTCTTGATGCAACGCCCATACGGGCAAACCTAATCGCTTATAAATGCTGCATCATTGACGTGCCTCGGTAGTTGCGGTACGGCGGTCGTAACCAGTCATACGGAAGTTGCGTTTAAATCAGCAATACGTGAGTTAAATTCCCATATCATTATTCGAGTATACACAACACTATTCCAAATTCACCTTTCTACAATCAATAAATATTTTAAAAACATGAATTCTATTAATTGTTTTATCAATCACGACTAAAAATACATTTGTCTTTTACGTCTGAAACACTGTCAGTCCTAGTGAAACATCACTTTCACCTTGGGTTTCGTCGTGCGCAAGCGGTAATTTTCTAATACAAAATCCTCCAGGAAGTTTCAGTCTTATTTGCTCTTTAAATATTCATAGGTTGTGTCGTTAATACGTTATTCTGTTATACAATCATATTCAATTAGCTACGAACTCCTAGGTTACCTGTTACGTGGCTGTTAAACAGGATCTGAAAAAAAAATAATGAAGAATATTTCTTATTTAATATTTATCATTTTTTATCGTTGATTTCCATATTTAATATTTTTATTATATCATATTTATATAGCAATGTCATCTACCTGGAAATAATGTGTATGTAGTAATATTTTGAGGCACAATAATTTTTTATTCCTTTAAAATACTCCTGATTTTTTTTTACATTTTTTTAGCAATTACTAATTACTAATTTACCTATATTAGTTTACAAATTATTTTCTAGTAATCGTATTATTTAAAATTATTATGTTGATTTGAAATCTATTTACCTGTCAAATACATTTCTTGTTTATGTTTAGTTTAGAATTAAGAACGCTTTCTCCAAACATTTAAAGTTTACTCTTTATCCAATATTTATTTATTTTTATTGCACATTATTTATATTACTTGACAGAACCATATAGATTTCACAAAAACATATATCATGATTATCAAATATTTTTACTCCTTAAGTATTTAAAATTATTTATAAATATTGAATTAAATACATATACATTGAGTAATTTTTATTACATATTAAATTTTGAATTAATTGTAAGTTTTAAAAATTTGTGACAGTCTTGCATTTTTCAAGAACGTATAACAATAATGTATTATTTATATTTAGTTTGTCATCTCTAATTATTTTAAAGGGTCTTCAAATTATCTTATTTTTTTATCATTATATATACTCATTCCGTCATAATATCCTGTTGAAATTTTATAATATCAATTATCTATAAAATTATACACAATTAAATTTATTAGATATATGTTGAAGAGACAATTGCAATATTCTATTCTCTTTCTTCGGGGTATTGCCCACACTTTCACTCCCCCCCAAGATTACATCACAAGGTCCTGTTTTCTCTTCAGGACACAATCGGCATCCAATTACGCACAATCGCAAGGTAGATGCGTATCCCCTTGTATGCATACAATGCCACTTCAGTCCTAATGTTTTGTCTGTAGTGATTGCTTTAATGGCGGATGGTTGCTGGAGAGGAAAAAGTAGGGCACAGTCGGTAAGCTTGAGTTAAGATAGCTAGAGATCATTGCATTTCTTCTCTCAAAACACTTTTTAACTTCTAAAAATTATTATAATAATATATATATATATATATATATATATATATATATATATATATATATATATATATATTCATTTTAAATCTTTTTATATGGTATATAAAATACTTGATTGATTTGTAACTTAATTTTTTTAAAATGAATACTCTATGTTCTATTCATCAATAAAGTATCATACTTTTCATTAAGTATAGAACTATGTCATCCATCATTGGCGTGCTTAGATCATTTGAGGGGATTTATTTTTGAGACAAAAAAATAATACTCATGCTTTGGGGCATCCATTGTGGATAGAGAACCAGGAATGGATTTATTTTGAAGATCTCCTTAAACAAAATCATTTTTGCATCATATTATTTTTTCTAATCACCAATTAAATAATTAAACTCAAAAAGTCAATAATGAATGCATATTGTTTTATATTCTATACTTTGGCTTGTTTAATTTTAAATCTTATAATTAATAATTCGCATAATGTGTATTAGTAAAATATAAACAAATCCAATCAATCTTCTACTCCTCCAAGAAGCGACTAATAATTTTAGTATAGATATTTTAAATTTCGTGTTATTTATTTTGGTTTGCTCAAAGAAAGTTGATTAAAGCATTTTTTATTGTATTTTTTTATTATGAAATAAAACTTTAAACAATTAATGTAGTACCCCTTTTGTAAATGGAGACTGGGGCAACAGATTCCCACAGGACCTCGTAGGTACGACACTATATGTCATCTGAAAGCATTTTTTTTTTTTATTTAGATAGACAAAAAAGATTATAAACATAACATGCCCTACGTTTCAAGTTTAAAAAAAATTACAATATTTATTTTACAATAATTTCTGAAAGTTTTATTTGTATATAATAATCAATCATTTTAATGCTAATTCTAAATATATATATACATATTACAACGGTGTATTGTAACCTTTCATATCGTTGGTTCAATGCCAAATTTCCTTATCTACGATTTGTTTCTATCAATCACTTTCTGGTTTTCTGCTGTTTTTAATAACTTGAATAATAATAGCAATACGAATGAGCTCTCTATTAAAAGATAAGAACAATTTAAATAAGCTAAGCTAGAAGTTAGAATTTTATCTATGGCATAAATTCAAAATTACTGTAGCATATTATTGTATGCTTAACGATGCGACAAAATATCACAGAAGCCTCAAAGTAGAGATTTGACTGAATTACTTGTTTATTGAGAAATATTACAATCTGTCTCAATTAAGGACATTTATAGTAGTGTTCAGAGAGCACATTCACACTCAATGTATAATAAATAAAAACAAATTAAACAGCAAAGTAATATAACTAAAACTAAACGATAATTAAAAAGAAATAAGCTAATCCAAATAACAACTTAAATACAATCATAAACTAGAAATTTAAAAAAAAAACATAAATTACAAATGCGTATTTTCTCAAATTAGACCTATAGGCAAGATGTGTTTTTCACTATTAGGTAACAGTATTTTTAACTTAATTTACATTTTCCTTATTAATATGTATTATAAATAGGAAACTTATGATAAATGAAAATAGCCGTAAAAGAAATATCCAATGGTTTTATATATATTTCTATTGAAACAGATAAGGTTTTTTACTCCTGAAAAGAAATTTATTCTAATATAAATTATTATAACGATAGATATTTTAAGGGCGTCAAGACAGAATTATAAGATAGTATTTTTGAGGAAGTGATCATGTTGTAAGATAATTTTAAAAATGAGCAACTTCGACTACTGAATAAACTTTCAAAAGCACCACTTCTGACATCCGTAAAATAATTTAAAATTTAATCAATGCATTTTTTTTCACCAAAGAAACCGAAAAAAATAATCACATTATTTTACTTTAAAAAATAAACTGATTTTTTAAATTTTAATTACTCTTTTTTATTTTATTACATAGAGTGTGAATGTGATCTCTGAACACTATTATAAATGTCCTTGAGACAGATTGTAATATTTTTCAATAAATAAGTTTAAAAAAAAAAAAATACTCTTTATTCGTTAATCTTGGTCTGACATTTGATAGAAGAGTGACATGGGGCCAAAATATCAAGAACAAAACAAAAACACCAAACCCAACGTGAATGAACAGCACCTCCGTTACCCGGCAATCTGATCTATGAGACAACGGATATAAAATAGTAAGGAGTTCGCGTCCCGGTCCCGAGGAAGTCCTTTAAATCCCCGCCCAAACTCGCTGGTACGGGAAAATCCCGTATAGCCTTAACGACGAAGGGGAGGGCCCACAAAAAAAGTGTGTGAGTCGAAAAATAAGGTTTAAAAAAATATATTAACTTTTATTGCTGTTGTGGAATTCGAAGAAATCAAGAATTTATATTATTTTATGTAAAAAATTAAAACTTATACAATGATTTTTGAATTTTTATTTCTAAATATTCTAGTACATTTTTAAAAACAAAAATTTCTGATTTCTCTTTCTATGGAATTCGTTTCATTCTGTAAAATATACTATTCGAAAATAATTTACTTTTGATCTCTTGCCCGATTTAGGATGAGGTTATCCTTTGGGTCTATATTCAAAGACTGATAACCCTGCATATCACCGACCTTGAAATATAATTGTTGCAGAGTTTGCCAATGAACAAAAAAGATTTTAGAATGGAAAAATGTAGAAATTTGTGGATTTAATCAATGTTGAGGAATTTTTTCGTGTTTCTAGGTCGATTACAATAGTTCTTTATCGAAAATAATATTTTAGTTTCGGCCCCTGGCCCATCTTTCTGGACAATTTTTCTAGTTTTTGTTTTCCATTTCATATGAACAAAAAAAAATTGCGAAATTCGGGTTTTTTGTAATTTTTAATCCACAAATAACATTTTGTCAAAAATTGTTTACAGCGCAAAATTATATTTTTTAGCTGATAAAAAACAACGTTTTGAGTTTTCGGTTCTATTTTATATAAACAAGAAATTTTGTCATAATTTAAAAAATAGAAATTGCACCGTGAAATTACATTTTCGAGTAAATAATATTGCTAATTTATGAAGCCACTCAACAACTTTTAAAAATGAGTAACTTTTTCTAATGAATACAAAAATTTTTTGTTCACCTTAAATAAAATAAACCCATAAGAAAAGTGTCATTGAAGATGGACCGTTGCCCGAATCGTTGAAACAAAAATATAAATTCCATAAATAAATGTTATATAAATTAACAAAAGAAGTATCTTGATTAAAAAACTGCAGGATCACATATAAAATAATAAGTGGATAAACTAAACCGTATATAAACTACATCAGACCTTATCTTTGGTAATAATGGAGAGAATTAACAAACTTTTAAACCACCTGTTTAATACACTATACA